GAGCCCAGGAGTTGGAGGTTGCTATGAGCAGTGAAGCCATGGCACTCTACCCAGGGGCTCAGCTTGAGGCTCTGTCTCAAAAAAAAAAAAAAAAAGAAGGTAGACTGTTCTTTTTCTGAGTTAATGTTTGTATCTTTTATCATCATTTAAAAGATTAAATTTGGAATATTGTATTAATTCTGGTATATCATGGTGAACATCAATATTATGAATCTGTTTTTAAATAATGCTTTTTATCTCGACTATAAAAGCAATATAGGGGCAAATGTCTCTCATTTAGAGGTAATCTATGTTAATATTTTAATATACTTTTTCTCATTTAGTTTCTTTTTTCACAAAACCAATTTGAGGCCAGGTATAGTGGCTAACACCTATCATTCTAGCACTTTGGGAGACCCAAGGTGAGGGATTACTTGAAGCCAGGAGTTAAGAGACCAATCTGGGCGATATATCAAGACTTCTGTCCCAACAAAAATTTAAAAAAATTAGCCAGGTGTGGTGGCTTGTGCTGGTAGTCCCAGCTGCTTGGAAGACTGAGGCAGGAAGATCACTTGAACCTTGGGGTTCTAGGTTGCAGTGAACTATGACTACACTACTGTGCTCTAGTCTGGGTAACAGAATAAGACCCTGTCTCTAAAAATGAAAACCTGGGCTCGGCGCCCATAGCTCAGTATTTAGGGCACCAGCCACATACACTGGGGCTGGTGGGTTCAAATCCGGCCTGGGCCTGCTAAAAAACAATGACAACTACAACAAAAAAATAGCCAGGCGTTGTGGGCTCTTGTAGTCCCAGCTACTTGGGAGATTGAGGCAAGAGAATTGCTTAAGCCTAAGAGTTTGAGCTGTGCCCCCACATCACTCTACCTAGGGCAACATAGTGAAACTCTGTCTCAATAAAATATAAATAAATTAATTAATTAAATTAAAAAATGAAAACCAGTTTGTGATTATTCTGTATAATATTGTGATCTGCCTTTTTTATTTAATTCTCTCTTTTCTTTGATGATGTCTAATACTTGACACTTTAGTTACATTTGCTTTTTTCATTGTTAAATAGTTCTTAAGGTTATATTTTCATTGGCTTTGTAGTTTGGCATTATATACATGGAATTATTCATTTAATAATTACTCTGTTTTGATATGTATATTATTCCCAGTGTTTTACTTTGAAAATATTGTTGGACTCAGTGCCTGTAGCTTAGTAGTTAGGGCGCTGGCCACATACATCCAGGCAGGTGGGTTTGAACCCAGCCTGGCCTGCTAAACAGCAATGACAAACTCCAACAAAAAATAGCTGGGCATTGTAGTGAGCACTGGTAGTCCCAGCTACTTGGGAGGCTGAAGGCAAGAGAATTGTTCAAACCCAAGAGTTTGAGGTTATTGTGAGCTATGATGCCACAGTACTCTGCTGAGGGCAACATAGTGAGACTCTGTCTCAAAAAAAAGATATATATATATACTTGATATGAATACTTTATACACAGGCTTTGTATGTATTCTATTATTTTATTAAGATAAAATCCCTTGCTGTAGAATGATTGAGTTGAAGGGCTTTGAACAGTTTTAATACATTTAAACCATTACTTTTTGTTTGTTTGTTTGTTTTTTGAGACAGCCTCCCTCTGTCATCCCAGATAGAGTGCAGTGGTGTCATCACAGCTCACTGCAAACTCAGACTTCTAGGGTCAAACAACTTTCCTGCTTCAGCCTCCTAAGTAGCTGAGACTGCAGGTAGCATGCATTATGCCTGGCTGATTTTTTTCTATTTTTTTGCCTCATTCTTGGTCAGGCTGGTCCCAAACTCTTGGCCTCAAGCAGTCCTCCCTCCTTGGCCTCCCAGAGTGCTAGGATTACAAGGGTGAACCGCCACACCCAGCATAAAATATTACTATTGAGTAATTCAGTTGTTGAATTGAATTCCTTCTATGTTATACCATAAATTCTAAATTTCTTGTAAAATTATGATGAATAAGTAATAACTTAGTTAATATTGAAGAAATTTGTAGTGAGATGAATTTTTCCAATATAATTTAAGTAATATTTATATTATCTTAATTACTATGAATAATACCATTATATAATATATAATTATATTTATAAGTAACATGATATTATTTAACATTTAAATTATTTAGATGTTATAAATAAAGTATCTTAATTTTTTAATTGACATAATTATACATATTTCTGGGGTACATAGTGATGTTTTGATGCATTAATATACAGCGAACACATCAGGGTAGTTCATATATTCATCATCTCAAACATACAAAACTACTAGAAATCCCCTTTCGGTTTGCCTTTTTTATAAATGAAGATTTTCATATATTTTGTTCACTTAATGTGAGGTATACTTCTAATTTATTTTCTCTTAAGTTTCCACACTTGAATGTTTTTTTCATTCTTTTAAGAAATGAACTCAGTGATGTGTATTTTTTTATTTTTTAGATTGCTGCGCTTTACATATGGTCCTTCATTTCCTCCATTTAAAGTTCCCGATGAAGATGCCAGTCTAATACCTCCAGAAATGGATAATGAGTGTGTTGCACAGACTTGGTTTCGCTTTTTACATATGTTAAGGTATTATTATTTTATTATGTCAGGTGCTCTTTACCCAGTAAGTGTTTTAGGGCAGGAACCATGCTGGGTGGAACTCTCTTGTTTGAATTTGGAATGTGGATGCTAAGCTCAATCCATTAAATGGAACCAGAGAAGACAACAAACACATCCACGTGTGCCTCTTGCTCTCCCCACCCCACAGGGTTAGGCTGTCCTCAGCTGCTCTAGATCTTACACGATCTAGGAACTTGTTTCCTGTGGCAGAGGCAGCCCTGTTCTCTTGCCTGTGGCTGTAGCCTGGATACTGATCTCTTCCAGGACTTGTTAACATCCTGTGGTAACAGCTTGTTTAGTCCTGCACTCACTGGTTAGTCTGCCTATTCAGGGCCTTCGTCTAGTAGCCTGTTGATTAAAATTTCACTGAGAGATACGTCCTAAAATTTCACAGAAGGATATACTCCTACTTTATAGTAATTCTGTTCAGTTTAGTTTCATCACTTCCTACTTGCCCTCTTCCAACCCCATACATGTGCTCTTTGGAACTTTTATTGTATTGTAAACTGACTGATTTTTAAACTTTTTTCTTGCATGTCTTTTTGGTTCGATTAACCTCATTTTTTCTATTTGCATATTGATGATTCTAAATTACTCTCTACGAGACTTTTTTGTAAATTAGAGGGGTTAACCATTTTCTGTCATTTCTTCCTAGTTTGTAGTTATAGTTTGTGTTTCTTAGCTTTAAGTGATTTTAGTTTTTGAATGTTTTTTTCTGTGATCATTTTATATTTTCTTTAAGATTAGAAAGTCTGTGTTTTTTGATCAGATGGATACTGATATTTACCTATGAGTTCTTCTAATTTTGTTTCCTGTGTAGTATTAAGTTATATAGATCAGACTCTGTCTCTAGTTTACATATTATTCCATTAATTTCTTCATTTATTCATATACCAGATTCACACTTTACGTTTTTTAACTTTATGTTTACTGTTATCTGGTAAGCTTACTGACTTTTTCCCTCTTTTCTTCTGGCCTGTTTAACATTTCAGATGAATTTTAGAATCAATTTGTCAAGTTAAAAAAACGTAAGCAAACAGAAAAACACCACAGAACTTTTTTAGGGGTTTGGCTTGTTTATTAACTAGGGTAAGGAACACATCCTGCTTTAGTACTTGAACCTAAAGTGGGGAGCAGCTTTGGTCATACTCATTCAGGGATCTGGCCTGGCAGAGGCTCTCCCATCTTCCTCATATGACTCCATTAGGGCCTCAATGTTATGAGCAGGAGCCTTTGTATCTGGCTAGCAGATAGGGAAGAGAAAGGAAAAAAATTGTGTGGGAGTTTTTTTTTCTGGGCCAGGCCTTGAAGTGATGTAAATCATTGTTACTCACATTCCATTGGCCAGAACTCAGACACACACCACACTTAATTGCAAGAGAAAAGAGACTCTGCCAAAGATGAGAATTGTATTAAGCCTGTATTTATATTTAGGAAAAGCTAGGGGAAAAAAGCCATTTTATACAAAAGACACTTGTACTCAAATGTTTGTAGCAGCACTATTTATAATTGCAAAGATGTGGAAATGACCCAGGTGCCCATCAATACATGAATGGATTAATAAATTATGGTGTATGTGTACCATGGAATACCGTTCAGCCTTAAAAAGATGATGGTCTGGTATCTTTAATAGTGACCTGGATGGAATTAGAGATTATTCTTTCAGAATGGGATAGAAAAACACCATGTATACTCGGTACTAAATTGGAACTAGTTGATCAATACTTACGTGTTCCTATAAAAGCAAAACAGTGAAATTTGAGAAGGTGGGAGGGGAAAGAAGGTTGAGTAAATTCACAACTAACAGATAATGTTACACACTTTCTCTAGGAGAAAGGGATACTTATAAGTTTGATTTAAAATATACAAAAGCTAACTATGTAACCAAAATGTACCCCACTAATACTCTGAATTTTTTTTTAAAAAGCTGATATCTTGGCTCATTGCCCATAGCACAGTGGTTACAGCGCTAGCAACATGCACCAAAGCTGGCAGGTTCACACCCAGCGTGGGCCAGCTAAATAACAATGGCAACTGCAACAAAAATAGCCGGACATTGTGGTGGGCACCTGTATAGTCCCAGTTACTCGGGAGGCTGAGTCAAGAGAACCACTTGAGCCCAGGAGTTTGAGATTGCTGTGAGCTGTGACGCTGTGGCACTCTACCAAGAGTGACATAGTGACACTCTGTCTCAAAAAAAAAAAAAGCTGATATCTTATATTCTTATCATCCTGGGCAACATAATGAGATCCCACCTCTACCATGAATTATAAAAAAAAATTAGCCAGACTTGGTGGTGTGTAATTTGGAAGGGAAAGGCAGGAGCATCACTTGAGTCCAGGAGTTTGAGGCTGCATGTGCCACTGCACTCTACCGTGGATGACAGAGTAAGATCTAGATCTTGTTTCTTTAAAAAATAAAGTAAAGTAAGTATAAGACAGTTATGTTTTGACCATCCTTTTGTTCTGATTTTCATTGGAATGTGTCTAACATATGGAATTTTGAGTAGGATATTGGTTGTCAATGTTAGACATTCTTTTTTCTGTTCCTGGTTTCCTAAGCAATTTAAAAGTTTAAAAAATATAAAGAAAATCAAGAATAATATTGAACTTTTTCAAATCATATAATTAAATGGTTTCCCTTTTTTTACTGACTGATGTGATATATTAATTTATTTCTCAATGTTGAGCCATCTTTTATTTCTGAGAGAAAAGTTATACTTGGTTACGGAGTGCTATTCTTTTAATGTTTTCCTGAATTGTCTCTAGTTCTATTTTTTTACTAAATTGTGTTTTGGTAACTTAAAAAAGAATAAGAAGACTTCCGGGGGCGGCACCTGTGGCTCAGTGAGTAGGGCGCTGGCCCCATATACCGAGGGTGGCGAGTTCGAACCCAGCTGCTGCCAAACTGCAACAAAAAATTAGCTGGGCATTGTGGCGGGTGGGAGGCTGAGGCAAGAGAATCGCCTAAGCCCAAGAACTGGTGGTTGCTGTGAGCTGTAACATCACGGCGCTCTACCAAGGGCAATAAAGTGAGGCTCTGTCAAAAAGAAAAGAAAACTTCCTATCCTCCTCTTCTATATTGTGTAAAAGTTTTGTGTTTCTTAAGAGTTCGAAATAAATGCAATAAAACTATAGTTCTGGAATCCATTTTTAGAAGTAGTTCTTGGGTAATCTTTTATGTTTCTTTACTCCTTAATTGATCACTTCAGGCTTAATTTTTCTTTTTGAGCTGACTTTGGTATTTTAATCAGCCTTCTTTTGAATGTAAAGAATGGGTGTCTACTTAAGCCAATGCAAGTAAAAAAGAGGATATTTATATGAAGATATAGCGGTCTCACTGGGCTCTAAAAATGAGCAGTTTTCATGTTGGGAAGGGATTAAGGCAGCCCTGGGACAAGCCGTTCTGTCTTGTGCCTCTTAGTTTTTTTATGCTCTTGTGCATGCGGTTCTCCTCCTCCAGCAGGCTTCCCCTGAGTTCTTGTTTCTGCCTTTGGGAGGTACATGCAACCCTGTGATAAATGCCCAGTGGTGATAGTGTGATAGTGTGTGATACTATGTAACTTCACCTTTAGTCCTTTCAGTTCGCTGAGGCTTTCTTTCCCTTTGCTCAGATTCTCCGAAGAGATAAATTAGATCAAATTATTGTTGTTAATTAGGCTACGTTAGTTTTAGGTCTCTAGCAGACACCTGGATACACTTGTTTAGTACAGTTTTACTTTGCTTAAATGAGCTATGGATAAGTAGAAGGGAGATAAGTGAGGATTATTCAGAAGAGGCTATTATGGTTATTGGCAAATTCCCTGGGATGAGGACTGATGATGGAGAGACAGACATCAAAACTTTATCTAGTATGATAATGCTTTAAAAATATTTCCTGTTTTTGTTTGTAGCATGAGAAACAGAATATTCAAATGCTTGTCCTGGACTTGTTTGTGTATGACCACCTGCCCTTCAGGCCCTACCTAAAGATTCTATTTCAGTAAATTTAGGTGGAATCTGGATTTTTAAAAGGCTCCCTAAATGGGTCAGTTACACAAGGGCATTGGGAATTGCCAGAATACAGTTTCTGATATGTGCTTTATATCTTTTGTTACCATTCTCATTCCAAATTTTATTTATTTTCTTGAATTTGTCCTCTGAATATTTGGGTGCCAATAAATCATTTCTGGTTTACATTTGGAGGAGTTGATAGAAGCCTTTCTCTCTTCAATTTTTATTAGCAAATAGATGTCAATTTAGCAGAGCTCTGCTGGACTGAAGTATAGTCCATTTCAACCTTACTTCCTACATTTCTAACTTCTAAGTAGATAAACCGCAACCCCCAGCAGATACTGCTGCTAGAGACTTCTTACCTCCTTTGCCCCACATGATGGATTACAGCTTTGTGGATACATTGGAAGCCCATTTTTCATACATTCACACATGTGCTGTTTCCTACTTAGTGTTATTTGAAATTGAAGGGTCTTTTGGTGCGTGGGAAAAAAGGGTTCAAAGGGCAGAGCATTTATAAGCCATGAATTTCTATTTATTAGCCTACTTCTTTTGCTTTGTAGCCAGTAGAAATTCTATTGGCTGTAGGTTATCAATATCACCCTGAATTGGAGAACCTATTGAATTGACAGCTAAGCAGACTGTTTTGAGTAGAAATCGAAATCTGTTTTTTAATGAAAAAATATAAAATTATTTGTACATAAAATATAACTCAGGTTCAAATATTAATGCATTGGTTTTTAAAAACATTTAAAAAAATTTTTTTTACTAAATTCAGTCTCTGTAGAGACTGTCAAAAATTGCCAATGTCAAGTGTATTTCATCATGTATTTCATCATGGTGGGGTATTAGGAAAAGTTCAATTAGTAATAATCATGCCTCAGATGAACCTCATTGACTATGATACTGCCACTGTGCAAAACTAATAAATTGTTTTGAGATGTATGGTTTTATTTATTTATTTATTTTTGTAGAGACAGAGTCTCACTTTATTGCCCTCTGTATAGTGCTGTGGCATCACAGAGCTCACAGCAACCTCCAACTCCTGGGCTTAGGCGATTCTCTTGCCTCAGCCTCCTGAGTAGTTAGGACTACAGGTGCCTGCCACAATGCCCGGCTATTTTTTTTGTTGCAGTTTGGCTGGGTCTGGGTTTGAACCCACCACCCTCAGTATATGGGGCTGGTGCCCTACCCACTGAGCCACATGCGCTGCCTGAGATATATGTTTAGTATATACATAAAACTGTGAAATGTTAATATTAAAGTAAAATTTTTTCCTTGGATTTCTTTTTGATTTATTTATAGTTTTACCATTCCATTGCTTAATTCCAAATATATTGGGAAAAATATCTATGTGTATTCTTAAAATATTAAAACCTTTTCTAGTCTTACTTTGATTCTCATTCTCAGAATAGAAGGAATGAGTTTGTGCAAATACACTGCACATCTTCTTTAAAAAAAAGGTTAATGTGTGAATCCCTAGCCCATTTAATACAGATCAGTCTCCTCTCTGAATCAAAGAAATAGGCATAAAAGTCCTGTTTTTAAATTAAGATTGCATGTATTTCATGAAATTTCTAAATGTGTAATTATTTCTTCTCTCTCTTTTGATAGTAATCCTGTGGATTTGAGTAACCCAGCTATTATAAGCTCTACCCCCAAATTTCAGGAACAGTTCTTGAATGTGAGCGGAATGCCGCAAGAATTGAATCAGTATCCCTGCCTTAAACATCTGCCTCAAATATTTTTTCGTGCCATGCGTGGAATCAGCTGTCTGGTGGATGCATTCTTAGGTGAATTTTGCATATGTTGCTAGGTGTATGAAGAGCTACATTTAGATAACACTTGAGTTGTAATAGAAACTATTACAGAAAACCCAAAGGAAAAGTTAAACAGATTTGATGACAACAAACTAGGAAAAGTTATTTGCAATAAATATAGTAGCTAGAAGAGTATTTTTGTCTTTATATAAATAGAGCAAACAGAATGCTAAGAGAAAGAATTTTTTCTGATAGATCTATGAATAAAGGAATGAATAAATGATTATAAAAGAAAAAATGTTCATGCTCACTAGTTATCCGAGGAAACTACAGATTAAAATGCATTAGGGGCCAGGCCAATCCCATGTATATCATTTGAAATCAAATTATGCCTTTTGTAAACTGCTTTTTTAAGCTGTTTTTCACATTTTAGATGTACACACATCAAAAGTCAGAATTTTTTAAACCTGTTGAAAGGCAGTAATATTTATTTCTAAAACATTTGTTCTATGCTTTTACTAATATATTATGCAATTCATATATTCTGATATGCACAGTTTTGCCGCCACGTAACAAGCCAAAATCCCATTGTAAATAAGATAGTTTATTTTCACATAAACGTTAATTCCAGGGTGTGGCAGTTTAGGGCAGTACCACTGTCTGGAGTGCTAGGCCCTTCTTCCATCTTGTGATTCCCCATCCTTTGTGCACTGCCTTGTAAGCCGTGATGTCAGTTGAGTGAGTTTTAGCCATCCTCTCTAGGAAATAAGGAAGGAAGGAGAGTCTACAGCTGATTGATCCTTTTAAGGAAAATTCTCAGAAGAGTCACTCAACAATCATCAGCCTCTCCGTGTTCAAAGCTGGCCACTCTTGCTGCAAGAGCAACTTGAACATGGAGTCATTGATTTTTGTGTAGTCATGTCCTGCTAAAATGTTCTATTCCCTAGGAAGAAAGGATAAATGAATATTAGGAGGCAACTAACATTCTCTGCTATAGCATTAGTCTTTGTGTCCCAAGATTTTGCTAGTGTTACTTGGGGAAGGTTTCCTGATCACAGAAATAACTCCATTTGTCTTTTTTTAAAGGTATTTCTAGACCCCGATCAGACAGTGCTCCTCCAACACCTGTGAATAGATTAAGTATGCCTCAAAGTGCTGCTGTCAATACTACCCCACCACATAACCGGAGGCACCGGGCTGTTACTGTGAATAAGGCCACCATGAAGACAAGCACAGTAAGACTTTACATTACCATCGTTATGCTGTATAAGACTGGCTTTTTAATCTGCCATTCTAGGGATTCACACATTCTCAGACTTTTCATAGATATGTGTGTTCTTATGGTTCTTCTAATAGGTTAGTACTGCTCATGCCTCAAAAGTTCAGCACCAGGCATCTTCCACCTCTCCTCTGTCAAGTCCAAATCAGACTAGTTCAGAACCCCGGCCACTGCCTGCCCCTCGGAGACCAAAGGTTAACAGCATCTTGAATCTCTTTGGATCATGGTTATTTGATGCAGCATTTGTTCACTGTAAACTTCATAATGGGATAAACAGAGACAGCAGCATGACTGGTAAATATTGCTCAAGAAATATGTTATCATTTTTTTCCTTTCCTTTTTTTTTCTTTTCTTTTTAGTCTTTCCTACCTGCAAGATTAATATGTATCTTAAAAAGCTGTCTGTTTCTGACCCAACACTGTCTTTTGCTTAACCCCTTCCAGCTGAAGTAATAGAACTTTGGAAGTTTTCCTTCTGTCTTTTTAAATGTATGTTCTATGAGGTTTGGCCTTTTGTCTGGTTTTATTAGATACACTTCAGGTTAGTCATTTTTTGTTGAATCAAATTCCATCCAGTAGGTGACCTGGAAGTTCCCTTCATGTCAGCCAGGATAATAATAGTTTATTAAAGATTTTGAGGGTCTTTATCTGACACAAGCAATCAATATAACCTTGTTCTTTGTACCCTCAATGAATCCCCAACAATAAAAAAAAAAAAAAAAGAATTAAAGATTTTAACTCACAGGAAATGTTTTCTTAAGTTTTGATAGGCATTCATTCATTAGCACATGTAAATATCAGACAGTTTTTGCTTCTCAATAGATTTTAACATCTCAGATTTTAGTCTAGGGAACTTTATTTCAAGGGCATACTTCAAAATACCATTTGTTTTGTAACTTAATAACTGACTGGCAAAGAATTAATAAATTAACCCTCATCTTCATTTAGATTTTATTATAAAAGTGAAACTAAATAAAATCTGATTTATTTTTTCCATCTTGCCATTATACTTGGCAGTAGTGTCATAGAGTGCAAGATGGATGGGTAGGGTAGAGCTCAATGTTTTGAATATTTATGATATGTCTTACAGAGCTGAAAAATAATACTGGCTGGCATTTATTGAGCTGCTATTACTATGTGCGAGGTATTATGATGTATGCATTAATGACTGTATTGGTTGTTTAATAAGAAAGCATTTTTCTACTGGGGTCAGTAATAGATTAAGATAAAAAGATGCATCTCTAGGGAGAATATTAATTCCAAGGATAAAACTAATGGCTACAGGTATCTCTGCTTTCTCTCAGAGATGCATCCTTAGCTATTATGTATCATCTTAGAACTAGGATCTGTGCCTGTGAACATTATACACATGTCATTATTTTGGGTGTTCTTATAAATCTTTTAAATAAGTTAGAAAAGTTGTGAATGTAAAGATTTTTAGGAATGTAAATTGAGAATTACATGGTTTAGTTTAAGGAGTCCTTTGTTTATTCTGTTCAAATTCAGACACTTTATATTCTGTCATTTCCATATTATAATTTTATTCACAAGTTTGAAAGCAGTGCTTATTTATGGATAAGTAAATGTACTTATAATGACTGAATGAAAACTTTTTTAAAAACCACTTTTGGGTTTTAGTTTCTTTATGTTTATGTACCTTATATTTTGAGTTTTCTGACCATGTTGATATTTATTAATTTGTATTGTATTTTCTAGAATGAGTCAGTCATATTTTAAATAATTTTTATTAAGATGTAATTCTTACAATGTAACTTTGGGTATAGAGCTGTTGATACTGAAATCCCTGAATCTAGAATGGCTTAACCTCCTTCTTCATTGCTGGGCTTGCTTAGAGGGGATTGACAGATCTTTTCCACTCTCTTAGGGAGTTTGTAACAGCTTTGCTCATCCTCTTGTACCAGAATACAGAAACCAGAATTCCTTTAACTCTTTAACATTTTCCTTGTTGGGGAGAGGATAAAATCTCCTCTAATATTAGTGTTTAGAGATGATAAAGGCTGTTACATTACCCGGGAGATATGAGGTGTTCAAATAGTTGAAGGGTTCAGAATGCTGTTGGGTGTGGGGGAGGTTTGGTTATACCGACTGTTTTTTAAGTACTGGCTGCCATCAAGGAATTCTGCCATGTAGTTCACCTTAAAATGTTTGCTTCTTTGAACTGGATAGCTTTAGATTTATATACGGTGCTTTGTAAAAGTAACATTGAGCTGGGAAGGGTTAATGAACTAAAATTTTAATGCACGTTATGGGCAGTTCAAAACCTCAATTCTTTGTAGTTGTGTAATTTTCTTTGTTCATTGTTTTGCATGATAACAAAAATCATAATTTTGGACCTGAATGCACAATTTCCTATGTTTTTGAACTAGCTTGTGGTATCGTAAAGCTTTTAATCTAACTTTTAAAAAGCTAAAAAGCTTCTTAACTTACTGTAAAATCTCACCATCTTTAAAGTATTTTATAATTACTGCTGTCCTTTGATTTGTTTCCATTTATTTCTATTATCTTGCAGCATCTTTTATCCAAATTCTTCTTTCTTATAAATCTTGTAAGTAGGAACCAGAAGCTTCTCCTTAATTGCAGTCATGTTTTTATTTTTTTTCATAATTCCATTAAAAAATTTGATTGTCATTGTCTCTTGTAGTTTTTGCACTTGGGAAGAAAAATACTTTTCTGTGTTTTGAATGGGGAAGATTGTTGGCAAAAGCAAATTAATCTGCCTGAATCAGTCCCATTATTTCTGTATACTAGTCTGGTCATGTCATGAATTCCAGGACTTTGCACTAACTGTGTTTTGGCTTTTTTTTTTTTTTTTTAAAGCTTTAAGCTTATTTTTATACAGATTTAGTGTTTGATTTGTATGCATTCTGCATGTAGTGTTTTTCAAATGTATTATTGCTGGATAGCTTATTCAGGACTAAAAATGGCTCATGGGAAGTTGCATAAAGATTTATGCTTGACTCTGCATTTTATCAAATCTATTATTGCAAAATAATTTAAGCATTTCATGTGGAGTAATAAAGGATTTCAGAGTGATTTTCAATACACTGTGAAATCTTTGTTAAAAAGAAAAGCAACTTTCAAAGGGCTTCTGTTTCAGTGATAACAAATGATCATAATAATCTTTCTTACCAACCCAATTTTCTGATTTATCAACCTCAAGTTAGCTGCTGTCTGTGGTTGTTAAAATTCATTCTCATTTTGCTTGGTTGGGCAATTCTTTGGTGTGTGTTTTGGAGTTGGGTGGGTGGGTAGAAATGCTTTCTCTTCTTCCCTATCCATTTCTTATTCTTACCTTGCCCTCTCCCTAAAGTATACAAACTGGCATGGAGTTGCCCATTTAATTATGATGCCCATATAGGGTAATGTGTAAGTTACAGTAGCTAATGTTTATCATTCTATAGAGGGAAGAAAAAAATAGAAAATAATAGAAAAGCTAAATTATGTATTATATATCTGTATGTAAATACAGATATATACAAATGTCTTTTCTGATCAAAAATTCAGTTGAAAATGCTTCTTGTAGAATCTGTTAAACTGACAGTGCCACTGTAAATTAATTTTTACTTATTTTCAAAGAAGATTTCAGAGAGCCCTTTTAAAAAAACATTAAGATATAGTTGCTAAATAAAAGCATTATTGGATTCAAGTAGCTATTTAATAACACCAACATTTGATCTTTGTGTCCAGGGTCCCATGAGCCTATTTGGCATATTGACAAACATAATAAAACACTCCTTTTCTCTCCCCAGCCATTACAACACAAGCTAGCATGGAGTTTCGACGGAAAGGGTCACAAATGTCCACAGACACCATGGTTTCCAATCCTATGTTTGATGCAAGTGAATTTCCTGATAACTATGAAGCAGGAAGAGCTGAGGCTTGTGGGACACTGTGTAGGATTTTTTGTAGCAAGAAGACTGGAGAAGAGATTCTGCCAGCTTATTTATCCAGGTCTTAGAATTTTTTGTTTGTTTTTCCATTTGTATAGCTTTGATAGTGAAACTATTGTAGCATGGCTTGGTAGACTGAATTGATAAGTAAATGTTGATGTGAAATACCCACAGATGTTATCTGTAAGTAATTGAAATTTGCTTGAATTCTTCCATTTCACCTGCCTCATCAGATTTGGTAAAGACTCCTAAAGGCTTTTTTATTTAGAAGTGTCATTTATTCCTTACTATTTGACTTTTATTAGTTATGTAGAGATTTGGAAAAACCGCAATAATTTGTTAATAAATTTTTAGTACAATATTAGGCATGTAGATAGCAGAGTCAGCTTTAAATCCTGCCTCCAAGGAGCTTATTTTCTAGGGAGAACAAAGCCAGGAACTCAAGTTAACAATGATCCAATAGGAATAAGAAGTTGATGGGAGAGGCACAGATAAAGTGCTGTGGCATTCAGAGGAAGAAGCAGTACACATTTATTTCAGGGCCTTCAAAAAAAAAGAGTTACAGAGTCTTGGATGATTGTGCCATACTTACAAAGGATGGATAGCATTTTGACTATTTTAGGTAGTTGGGTAGTATCGTCTTATTAAAATCTCTGGCATCAACTGTCTTTGTGAATGGCTCTGCTGTCCATTCAGTTGCTTAGGCCAAAAACTAGGAATCACTTCCTCTCCCTTTGTGTCTTTAGTTGGTCAGCCAATTCCTCTTGCCTTTCTGCTACTTAATGCTCTTTCTGATCTCTTTCCACTCTGTCTTCACCGTGACACTTCAGACATTACTTTTTGCCTAAATTAATAATAGCCTCCTATTTTTCTTGGCTCTCTTTTACCCTCTTCAACTGATCCTTCATACACCTGCTGAAGTTAGGTTAACATCAACAAGAGCATTTGGGTATCTGTATACCTACTAGGTTCTCAAGAGAGAGGATTAAACTGACTCTCAGAAGGAACCAGGTGCAGAAGTAGTGCATAGACATGCAAAAGAATGATACATGCAGGGAACTAGGCAGGGCTGTCTTGACCATAGACTCTTGACTTAACCAAGTAGCTAGGTTTACACTTGAAGAAGATGTAACAGACACAAATCTTTTTTCTTCATTATGAAAGACAATTTGGTTCTTACCGTATATGAATCAGAATTGTTTTAATTCCAGTAAGACCTTTTAAAGGATAGAAAAGAGTGAAGAGAAGAAATAGACTTTTAGATAACTATGTAGAAAATAATAATTATGAAAATGTTTGATAAGCAGTTTATTTAAATTTTTTTTCTTGCTTTCCTAGATTTTACATGCTTTTAATTCAAGGTTTGCAGATAAATGATTATGTGTGCCATCCTGTCTTGGCCAGCGTTATTCTAAACTCTCCTCCTTTGTTCTGCTGTGACTTGAAAGGGATTGATGTTGTGGTTCCTTACTTTATTTCAGCTCTTGAAACCATTTTGCCTGACAGGTAAGCTGTCATTCTCTGCTGTTATCAGTTTTTGGCCTGGTCTGTTTTTGTGCTTCCTCCCCTCTTTCCTAATGTATCCTGTCCAGTTGTCTTCATAGTCCAAGGGGACTCAGGCCACATTAAGTGAATGTTGAATGTTCAGACCACCTTATCCCTGAACTCCTTCAGTTCCCAGCTGTCTGTGGACTTGTTGAATCTTTCCTGGCCTGGTCTAGAGGGATAAGAGCATTCCAGCCTAAAGGTTCTTCTTTTGTCCAGCAGGCCTCACATTTTAAATAAAGAAATAAATTGGGAAGCACCTGTGGCTCAGTGGGTAGGGCGCTGGCCCCATCTACCAAGGGTGGCGGGTTCAAACCCGGTCCTGGCCAAACTGCAACAAAAATGTAGCCTTGCATTGTGGCGGGTGCCTGTAGTCCCAGCTACTTGGAAGGCTGAGGCAAGAGAATTGCCCAAGCCCAGGAGTTGGTGGTTGCTGTGAGTTGTGTGACACCAAGGCACTCTACCAAGGGCAATAAAGTGAGACTCTGTGTCTACAAAATAAATAAATAAAATAAAGAAATAAAATTCTAGTTTAGTAACATTTTAACAGAAATTCACACACATATACTTGGATTGTGGGAAATTGGCATAACATGTATTTGGCAATAGCTAGAAATGTCCTTTAGTTAAAAAATACTAATAGCTTTTTATTTTTTGGCAGAGAACTCTCAAAATTCAAAAATTATGTAAATCCAACAGAATTGAGAAGATCCTCCATTAATATCCTGCTTTCTTTGTTGCCCCTCCCTCATCATTTTGGCACAGTCAAATCAGAGGTACTATTTTAAAGTTTTTTATTCTCTATCTTGTTTTGTGTGCTAATTTAAGTCAAATTATGTTTTAAAAAATGGAGCAGGAGTTTTTTTTTTTTCTTAAAAACTCGTTATTTCAAGTAAATTAACAAAGTTGATTTGTTATATTATTTTTTTCTGTCAATCTGCCAGCAAGTCTTGACCTGTGATTTCAAGTAGTTATAGGAAAGCGATATCTGATAACCTGTGCGAATGAGTTAGTGATGGATTTAGCACAGTGACAAATATCAGAGTGAAAGCCTAGCTCGTTAGACTGATCTAGCACAGTGTTTTTCAACCTTTTTTATCTCGTTGCACATTTGAACCTATAGTATTTCTGTGGCACACTTAAATTATGTTGATCAGTCCCAGGTGCAGTGGCTCATGCCTGTAATCCTGGCATTCTGGGAGGCCAAGGTGGATGGATTGCTTGAACTGAGGAGTTTGAGATCAGCCTGAACAAGAATGAGACCCTGTCTACTAAAAATAGAAAAACTAGTCAGGCATTGTGGTGGGTGCCTATAGTCCCAGCTACATGGGAGGCTAAGGCAAGAGGACCACAAGCCCAAGAGTTTGATATTGCTGTGAGCTGTGACGCTGTGGCATTCTACTCAGGGCAACAGAATGAGACTTTGTCTCAAAAAAAAAAAAAGAAAAAAATTAATTAATGACCTTTAAAAATGTTGTGGCACACCTAAGATCTTCTTATGGCACACTGGTTGAAAATCACTGCTCTAGCAGATCCATCATGGGCATAGTAAGCCACAAGAGCTGATATCTCCCACCTAAGGGCAACATTGCATGGGTACGTGACAAGCATCCTAGGTGAAGGACACAGCTACAATGTAGACTTTAACCTTATAAAAGCAATTTATGTAGCCTAATTGTATATACCCTCATACTAACTAAAATAAAAAAAAAATAAGAGTTGATAAATATTATTTGTTTTTCTCATAGGTGGTCCTGGAAGGAAAGTTTAGTAACGATGACAGCTCTTCTTATGATAAACCAATAACTTTTCTGTCCCTGAAGTTGAGACTTGTGAATATACTAATAGGTGCCTTGCAGACAGAAACGGACCCCAACAACACCCAAATGATACTAGGTTTGTGTTTATTGTTTCATAAGTGCAAACCCTGGTACTGTTGACTTCAGGCATGCTGAGAATTTGGTAAGCAGTGACAGGAGCCTAAGCCTAATGCAGCTCTACTTATTATTCTCAATCAGGGGCAAAGTTTGTTTGCTTTTTAATGTAAAAAATAATTTTAAAGGGGCGAGATGAGGGAAGTAAAGCATTACAGTTATCTTGGTAGGTCATTTTGTTTGTCCTTTTTGCTTTCCTTTCTCCCTTCTCCTTTCCTCTCTTCTTTTCTTCTTCCTTCCTTCTCTTCTTTTCCCTTCCTTTCCTCTCTCCTTACTTCTGCCTCTTCCTCCTCTCCTGCCCATTATTAACATAAGAAAAAAACTGGAGTTGAATATAATTCTGTAAGCCACATCAGAACCCTGCCAAGAAGACGGTACAGAGTAGCTTTGTATTTCTCCCCTCTTGTTGTTTCCCATTTCCTAATCACACAGATTCTCTGTGATAAATGTCTCCTCTTCATCATAACCACTGGTATATTGTAGGTCCTCATCACTTCTCAGCTTGCTTACTATGACCATCTCTTGTTTTACTTCTGGCTTTTCATCAAAGCCAAGGTTATGGTCCTAGATACAGATACTCTGGGGGGAATATTAGAGAAATGAGTGGCATGATTCTTACCCTTGAATAAGTCTCATTGCAGAGATTGAGATAGCCTCACAGTAGTCACAGAATAGCAGAAAGCAGTGTTGATTGCACATCACCTCGAACGTGAATGTCTTTAGGGTTGAGAGAGAAAAAACCCAAAAAGGCATTCAACTCCTGCTCTAACCTTTACATTTTAATTCATTGACCCTGTGTCTTTTTCACTGTCATTTCTCACTCCTTACCCAGCTTAAATTCCATTTCCCTTAACACTTAAAACCCTTATTTACCTAAACCCAACTGTCCACTTATTTCACACTCACACCTGAATGGTTAAATAGTGCTGGAGAAAACAAAATTGCACACTAGGGCTGCTTACACTTTTTAGATTTATGACTGAAAATCTCAGGTTGCACTTCACTCACTGAAAGTTTTACTAACTTTCCTAGTGAATTCAAACTTCTCTCTCATCTTTTATCTCCAAAGCCTGGTTCTTTTTTCCACTTAACTAATGATCTTGCTCCATATTCATAGAAAAAAATATCTTCCTATATCTGTAACCTACCGATAGTTTGCTCTTTCTTTTTTTTATTCAGCAAGTATTTGGGTTCTGTTATGTGTTGTGTGCCAGCCACCATCCTAGACTCTGGGATATGGCAAGGAACAAAATAGTCAATAAAAGTTATTCTGGTGAGGAGCAGAAGAGGACAGTGTTGCCAGAATGAAAAGAGCAAAGGTGGGAGAAGTAGGAGATAAAGTTATAAGTAGTCTCAGCTTGTTATAGTGTTCTCCTATTGGGCCCTAAATCCAGTCCTCCTTGTCTTCTCAAGGATATCATTCTTCTTTCCTATCTGATCAGTTCCCCTAGGGTCTCACTCTATTGCCCAGACTAGAGTGCTGTGACCTCAGCCTACCTCACAAACTCAGCCTCCTGGGCTCAAGTGATCCTCCTGTTTCAGTCTCCTCAGTAGCCGGGCCACGATGCTCCACTAATTTCAGACACCTGCCACAATGCTCCACTAATTTTCCTATTTTTAGTAGAGACGGGGTTTTGCTCTTGCTCAGGCTGGTCTAGAGCTTATGAGCTTGAGCAACCCTACTACCTGAGCCTCCCAAAGTGCTAGGTTTACAGGCATGAGCCATTGTGCCTGGCCCAATTTCTCCTTCTTTACTAGATTATTTATAGTGGCACAAAAATAACGGTTTAATATTATCCTCTTAAAATACACCTTCTCTGGATGCATTACCTCCTCTAGCTGTTGTTGTCCTGATTCTCTGCCACCCTGTAAAGCAAGACTATTTGAGTTTACTTAATCACTTTGACTGCTTCATTGCCTCCCTTCCTCTTCAGCTCACTGTCATAGGGCTTTGTCCCCACATTCCCCTGAATCAATTCATATCAAAGTCCCCATAATTGCCATCTTGCCCGAACTACTATCATCTTACTTGGCCTTTTAGCAGCTCTTGATTTGGTCATAGCACCACCATCTTCTTCTTTTAACCCTATTTTCTAGAGGCCCTCAACACATCCCACTAGCCTGATTTTAATTTTATCTCTCTGATTCTCTGTGCTCTTGCTAGTTCTTTCTCTCCTACCAGGTGGCTTGGTGTCAGAAGCCCCCAAGCTCTGTTCTTGGCCCTCTTATCCTAGTTGGTCTCATCAGTTTCATGGTTTCAAATTTTATATATGCTGAATATATTCATCTTAGACATCTCTGTTTAGCTTGAGTCACGACCTAACTGCCTACTTGACATTTTCACTTGGGTATCTAAAAGGCAACCCAAACCTAACTTGCTTGCCTCCCACATCCTTACTGTAAGTCTGCTTTCCACCAGTCTGCTTCCTTGGCTTGGTAAGTGGCATCCTTGTGTGTACCTAATTGATCAGGCAAGAACTTAAGACACATCTGTCTTTGATGTTTCTCTTTCCCTTATTATCCCATATCTATATCCACTCTTCACTCTGCTTCTAAAATATATCCTAATCAACCTTACTATCTCTCCTCTCCTTTCTTGCTCCTCCCCTGTTCCCAGAGTATATCCTACCTACCTTTGCTAGAATGGTTATTCTAAAAAGGATAATCTAGACAGTCCCAGTCAGTCTCTGTGGCTGTGGCTTCCCATTACACTTAGAATAAAATCCACATTCTTTATGCAGATCTGTGGAGAACACATTCCAGTATCTTCTTACCTCTGACTACCTCTTAGGGGTTGTCTGCTTTACTTTTCTCTTAGTTCTCTGTGCTCCATTGATACTGGCCTTTTTGTTTCCCCCCTCTCTCTTCTCATTCATTAAGCACATCCAGCTCATGATAACTTCTTCCTGCTGGAATGTACTTTCCTTGAGTTTTGCTTAGCTTTTCCTTACTGTCTTGTTAGAGAGGCGTGCCCTAACAGACTTTCCTAAAGATGATCTCTTTTCTTCATTTTTTTCACAGCACAGTACCTGAAATTATCTTACTTGTTTGCTTAAATGTTTTATCTTCCCCTTTTATATATTTTTAAGATATAAAGTATTGATTGATTGACTAACAAACCTACTGTTAGCACTTAGGACATTCTTAATCTCCTTAAACATCTTAAGAGAGACCTGGATGAACAAAGGAGCTCTTTTCTTTCCCTAATCCAGTGTTCAAATTGGATAACCAGCTATTTAGTATATTAGAAGGTAGGGGGTTTTCAGTTGTGACTTCTGCCATTTCAGTATTGCTAAAGTTCAACCTTAAATATCAGGGTCACTACCCTTGGCAGTCATAACTTTCAGAAAAGCCAGGCTTTCCTCAGCTAACTAAATGGGGTTCCCACTGAACCAAGTGAATGCAAACACCATCCCAGCCTGCACAACCTGGTTGGCAGATAGAACTTCCTATTTCTGGAGCACTTGATTCCTGAGAAGGCCTTGACCTTGGCGGTGGCTAGAGGCTTTCATTCTCCTCTTTATTTGCGAAATCAGGATTAGGCCAATTCTTAGCATCTTAGATTCTTGTTTATTGAAGGCAGGACCAGACATTCCCTTTAAATCCTTACGTCCCCAGAGGAAGTATGGTACATGTGCTTACAGCAGGAACACAGTCCTTGAGATGGTTCTAAAAGGCCTTTAAAACTGAGAAAGACTGATCCTGAAGAGGTAAGTCACAGCTGCCAAGAACAGTATTTCTCCAGAGACACCTAATTGGTAGGTGACAAGAGTTGTCTATAGCTGGGTTAAAAGTTATGTAGGGCCTTGCAAATCTGAAATGCCATTAATTAATTGGGGGCATAATTTTTCTAGATCCACACATGTAGTTTTTTGCTCTTACATTCTCATTTGTGAAATATAGCTATGATCTCATTTAGGCTGGCTTTTTAGAGATCTTCTGAAGTTAGAGTGGTCAGTCTGACCAAGCATTGAAATCAAAGTCCACCAATGGCATCAACACTATCTCAGATACATTTTTAATACAGAGGGAGAGGGAAGGTTTAGATATGTGAGATCCCCCAAGTTACAGTGTTTTCAGTTATTCAAATAACATAAATTTGCTTGAAATCAGATAATTTCTCTAGTTTATGGGGTTTTTAGTTTTGCTTAGCCTTTGCTCTGAAGCGCTCTCATCATATAAGGAAGAGTTGTCACTCTGCCATAGATTGGCAAAGCTTTTTCTGTCTTTATCCATAGTAGGCAAGAGCATGGGATGAGAAACAAGGTGCTAGGTTCAGCATCTTGTTTCCGTCCTAGCTTTTCCAGGGCTATGGATTCCTTGCTGATAAATGGTTGTTTACCTTCAGAATATGCAGACATTGGCAAGCCCCAGATTGTGTGGCTTTAATCATTCTTAAAAAGCAGTATGGTTGGGGTGGTGCCTGTGGCTCAGTGAGTAGGGTGCCAGCCCCATATGCCAAGGCTGGCGGGTTCAAACCTGGCCCCGGCCAAACTGCAACAAAAAATAGCCAGGCGCTGTGGTGGGCGCCTGTAGTCCTGGCTACTTGGGAGACTGAGGCAGGAGAATTGCCTACATCCAAGAGCTGGAGGTTGTTGTGAGCTGTGACGCCATAGCACTCTACTGAGGGTGATAAAGTCAGACTCTGTCTCTTTGGGGAAAGAAAAAAAAAGCAGTATGGTTAGAAAGGCATAGCTGTGATTTTATTTTTTAATTATTGTTTTTAGCACTAAAACAACAGAATAAAAAACTAGATTTCATTTTTAAAAGACCAGAACCTAGTTTTAAAAGTATTTCATGATACCTTCCTTAATTTGTATTATTGTTGAAATTGAGATGCTTATATCTAGTCTTTTACACCAATTGAAAAATACCTAATAGAGGGCATATTTTTATATAAAGCAAAGTTTGACCATTACATTTATTTTAGAATAATGTGGTTATAAAACTTTGAGGGCAGTTCAGAATTAGGGAATTTTTAAAGAATATCTTTTCTGGCCAATTAATGCATTTATTGGTACAATTGACTCTTGAACAACATGGGGATTAGTGGTGCTGTCACCCTGAGCAGTCGAAAATTTGCATGTAACTTTTGTTTCTTTCTTTCTTTCTTTCTTTCTTTTGAGACGGAGTCTTACTTTGTTGCTCATGGTGGAGTACTGTGGCATTGCAGCTCACAGCAACCTCAAATTCTCTTGCCTCAGACTCTGGAGTAGCTGGGACTACAGGTGCCTGCCATAACACCCGGCTATATTTAGAGATACAGTCTCATTCTTGCTTAGGCTGGTCTCGAACCTGTGAGCTCAGGCAATTCACCTGCTTTAGCCTCCCAGAGGTGTGAGCCAGTGCACCCAGTCCAACTTCATGTAACTTTTGACTCCCCCAAAACCTACCAAAACTTTACTACTCATAAGTTATGGTTGACTGGAAGCCTTATGATAATATAAACCAATCATTAACATGTTTTGTACGTGTTTATATATATATATATTTATATTATATAGTACATATAATATACTCTTACAACAAAGTAAGCTAGAGAAAAAATGTTATTAAGAAAAATCATATGGAAGAGAAAATACATTTTTAGTATTCTGTTGTATTTATTGATACTTGTAAGCTTACATTTTCTATTTATAAGGTGAATTATCTGTCTGAAATTGTGGGCAACTGCAGCTGCACACCTCAATCTACAGAATATATCAAGCAATTCAACTTTTTCTTGTAATGCCATGGCTTTTCTCTGTTCTGTGGGAACACTTCTAGAAACACTAGTGGCACTTCATGTGGGTCCCATGATGTTAGTCAAGGTATATGATACTGCACTAAACATGAGGAAGAATACATGAGAACCAGAAGAGATCACTTATAACTGTAATATGCAATTTGCTGGAGAGAAGAACTGCTTATGTGGAGAAGATTAGCATCATATTGCATTTTAAGTGGATGCTTGCAACACTTGAGCTCACGGAAATAGTAGCAAGAGGTGGCTATGAAATTATTACAGTAGTTCAATCTGTACTATAGTTAATCTTATGCAGTTATGACTTAATACTGCATCTTTATTTATTTTTTATTTTTTTAGAGACAGAGTCTCACTTTGTCGCCCTTGATAGAGTGCTGTGGTATCATAGCTCACAGCAGCCTCCAGCTCTTGGGCTTAGGTGATTCTCTTGCCTCAGCCTCCTGAATAGCTGGAACTACAGGCACCCACCACAATGCCCAGCTATTATTTTGTTGCAGTTTGGCCAAGGCCGGGTTTGAGCCACCCTCGGTATATGGGGCTAGCGCCCTATTCACTAAGCCATAGGCACCACCCTAATACTGCATCTTTATTTTTGTTTACATTTCTCTTAACTCAATGGCACTAGGTCAGTCTATAAATGTTTGTGTGCATAAATTTTAATAAATTTTAACTTATTATAATAGACTCATATATAAATTTTGCTAGTAAATGATAAAAAAGACTAGCATTTATTTATATTTTATGGATTCATAACATGCTAATATTCTCAATTTTTTTGATATTTCTAGGCAACTTGGTCTGTCTTCAGGTTTTCTCAAATTGTCACATATCTATATAAAATTTTCTAATATACTTATTGAAAAAAGTCTATGTGTGTGTGGTTCAGACCCTTGTTATTTGATGGCCAACTATTTATGAGAATTTCAGGAATGTTCAGCCAGAATCATATTCTCATCTCTATTAAAAATATATTTTAGCCATTTTAGTGTTCTTATATGTATTTTTTAAGGTGCCTTTTTTTTTCTTTTGCTATTGCAGGGGCGATGTTAAATATTGTTCAAGATTCAGCACTTTTAGAAGCCATTGGTTGCCAAATGGAGATGGTAAGAAACATACCACATATAATCTGTCAGAAAATACCAAGTTTGGACTTTATGTAAATTATATTACAAAATGTCTGTCTTTGTAATTTTTTTGAAGTCCTTTTATTTGTAAATCCAGCTCATTGATTTGGATGGATTCTATTTCTTTTTTTCGGAGAGAGTCTCACTTTGTTACCCTCAGTAGAGTGCTATGGTGTCGTAGCTCACAGCAGCCTCAAACTCTTGGGCTCAAGCAATTCTTTTGCCTCAGCCTCCCAGGTAGCTCGGACTATAGTTACCTGCTGCAATGCCTGGCTATTTTTAGAGACAGGATCTTTTGCTCTTGAACCGGTAAACTCAGGCAGTCTACCCACCGTGGCCTCCCAGAGTGCTAGAATTATAGGCATGAGCCACTGTGCCCAGCTTGATGGAGTCTATTTTAAAAGGTATATATTTTGAGGTTTCTTACCTTTCAGTGCCTCAACAGCTGTATATCAGAGAGATTCTGCAGGAGAGAAACTCCAGCTAAATTGTCTTTATTCTTGAACAGTGTCTATCTAAAACCCTGTTTTGTTTTGCTCTGCTAATACTTGAATAATGTAGAGAAAATCCCAGTCAGTAAGCATATAGTTTATTTTTTCCATCACGTCATTTCTTTCTAGCCTCTCTAGACCACAGTTTGCGTGTCCCCCAAACCAGCAATGCTTCTAAATTAAAAAAAGCTTCCCAGAGACATTCAGTGCTCCCTGTTTCTGTCTTCAGAATATGTGATCACTCTACCTGGAGTAGAGTGTGGAGTGTGGGGGGAGTAGTAGGGTATTCTAGGGTGAGCTGGGTGGATGTAATGTGTAATGTGAGTGGTCAAATTATTATTAAGGAAACTAATTTCACATCTCAGTAGATGCCTAATAATAATTTACTGATCTGAGTGTAATAAATTATGTTTCTATGGGGAAAAAATGAGAGAAGTCTTTAACAGATAGGTTTATTAGCTTCTATACATGGAGGAGTTAATCTACATACTAACCTTAATATTACATGGGTTTGTTTTATTCTTTGTGAGTTTTTTTTTTTTTGAGAGACAGGGTCTTACTTGTTGGCCAGACTAGTCTTGAACTCCTAGCCTCAAGCGTTCCTCCTGCCTTGGCTTCCCAAAGTGCCTGGACCATAGGCATGAACCAACACATCTAGCCTGTTTTGTGTTTTTTAAGCTTGTATCTCGGTCCTGAAGTTTTGCTTGAGAAGCACTAGGGTATTTTCTTTAAGGACCCAAAGTCGTTAGTAGCTATAGTGAGTTAGTGGAGATGAAAAAGGTCCTCGGCTGGCCCTTTGTAAATAGTGACAAAGAAGACCCCAGTATGGGCATCTGTTGTCAAGATACCTTCATATCCTCTAGGAGATGATGTCTGTGCAAAAACACCACAGTTTTAATCTCTTGTCAGTTTTTATCTATATATCAGTTTGTGCTCTTTAGCTGGCACAGTCCATCTTTTCAGCATGTTTTTTAGTGATTGACCTCTATTTATCCTTAATAATAATAAGGATATATTATGTAGCCCTCAAATATCTGATTCATTTTCATTTCACTAGGGTGGTGGTGAAAATAACCTGAAGAGTCATAGTCGCACCAATAGTGGTATTAGCTCAGCAAGTGGTGGAAGCACAGAGCCCACAACTCCTGACAGTGAAAGACCTGCTCAAGCTCTCCTAAGGGATTATGGTAAGCCATACTTGTTGTTTTTGAAATTCATAGTTCATAGAACAACTTCAGTGTTCCAATTTATAAAACAAAAATTAAAATTTTAATCTTCATGTTTTTTTATGTACTTAAGTATAATAGAATATTAGTCTAAAGAGCTTTTTAAAATTTAGCTATATCGTTTTTAGTATAATTTTGGACAGTTTATTAGATTTTATAAATGGTGGTAATGGGTGGTTAGGAGGTATTTCTGGAATTTTTATCATGTGCTAGTGATAAAAAAGTCAAATAAGATGTGGACTCTCCCTCACAGCTCACAGTCTAATGACAGAGGTGTCCATAAGTCAATTATCACACTGTGGTAAGGAGTGGTAGTGATAAGGTAAGCATTAGATGGCAGCCCTCAGGAAAGTCGGTCTTCATGCTAAAACCAGTGCACCCTACTAAATCTTGTTAGATTCTTCAGTCACAGATTTAAAGCAAAAGTAAGCAAACATTTTTATTTTTTGTCCTGACAAATAAAACATTTGTCAGCGAAGCATCCTTGATAATGTCCTCTACCTTGGGTAGTTATTTTATGGGTTCTGTGAGTTTGTGGATACCTTTATGTTTTTAAACATAAATACTAACACGGATCTGCGAGTATTTATCCAACTAGATTGGAATGTGGTATCTAGATCCTTAGATGTGAACTTAATTTTTTAATTACCCACAGAGTTTGTAAGCCATGTTTGTGAGGTTCGTGAATTTATGAGACATGTTTCTGTGGTTTAAGTTTGAAATAAGTATCCTTGAGCATGTCAGATACATAAAGTCTATGTGGATATTTGACACATTTAAGTACTGTACTTATAAAGAAGTTATTTAAATTGTTATCTTCACTGTGTATGTAGATTTAGGTGTACTGTAGGTTGAAAATTTGTTTTCAAGCTTTCTAAAACTTTTAAGCTAAAGAAATTTTTGTATTACTGCATGTAATAAATGTTTGAAGTGATTATTGTTTGTTTCAGCATTTTGAACTGGTGTTAGTGAGTTCTGCTTGTAATGTCGTAAAATATTTTTTTTTACTAAGAAATCCAGATTTGTTTTAGTGTCGCATGAATGTCTCTTTTTAATGATCATTCCTTTTTCTGTTGTCACTGCCCTCTTTCTGATAGGATCGACAGGTATAATGTCCCTAAAGCTTCCTTTATAAGTTCAATTTAACTTATCCTAATTTAATTTCTCCTGATTTACTATTAGCTAAGTAGTAATAACTTGAAATATAGAATTGGAGGCCAAATAAAAACTTGGTGGCTTGGTTATTTTAATATTTTAGAATTAATTAACTAGTCTTGTAGAGTTAAATGTTAACATGTGTTTGAACAGGCGCTGCATGTGATTTTTGATGGCAATTTAAATCCTGCAAGTAATTTCAATATATGCTTTGGGTAATTCCCAGCATCCAAGGAGACTATAAAGTTTGAATTCTTTCCTCTATAAAATTCCAAAGAAATAATTGATAGCCTTTTTATCATTTTTTTTGAAAATATACCTCTGTGAATTGTTAAATTTAGAAATTTTAAGATTTACATTGTTATGAAAAATAGTACTGACATCGCCAAATTCATGGTTGTCATTTGAGAAAGTACATGAGCTGGGAGCTAGAAGCTGCTCTGGTTCAGCGTGTGTGCCCCTGTGCTGTCAGGCTTGGCACGCAGGCCATTGGGGTGGGGAGCATAGCACTGTGTGGGTGCCCGTCATGTTCATTGTGGCTGCTGTGGTCTGTGCCTAGTGGAATGCTGTGCTTCTTGTTACTAATGCTTAGTTTTCCCTCCCTGTGGGATGTGGCATTGGGGTTATATCCTAGCTCTTAATACAGATTCGGCTGCTGGGCTCCTGATTCGCAGCATTCATCTCGTCACCCAAAGACTCAATTCCCAGTGGCGGCAAGACATGAGCATATCACTGGCAGCTCTAGAGCTCCTCTCTGGCCTGGCAAAGGTGAGGAGGACAGTCCTTCTGTTTTAACCTGGCAGCCTTGGGCCATGGCTCTTTTTTCTCTATCTCCTGACCTTTTGATGTGGGTATTGCAGTGTTGTTCATACACAGACATAGCTTACATCTTGAAGTGTGCAAAATTGAGCCTTCAAGTAAAAATTTACAAAAGGAAACCACTTTTTTCTAAATAGTTCAAAGAATATGAATGCTGTTTTTGTTAAATTACAAAAGACATTTCAATACCTGCCATTTATTTATTTCCATATAATACTAGAAAACATATTGATTTTGTAAAGAGTGATTATCCTAAAATATGTTATTTGGGATTATCTGTGATTCTCCATCTTCCATTATTGGAGATGAGTAAAAATGGTTATATTGCTCAAATTTTTTTACAGATGTTGTTTCAGTTTTGTGGAACCTTAGAGCTGAGTGGCTATTTGTGCTTCTCTAAGTGTATTTTAATTTTTGAAATGGAGATCATGTAACATAAAATTAACCATTTTAAAGCAACCAGTTCAACAGCTATTAGTACATTTATAATATTGTGCAACACTATCTATAGTTCCAAAATGTTTTCATTGCTTCAAAAGGAAACCCTTTATCCATTAAGATTTTGTTAGGCAGTGCGCGGTGGCTCACACCTCTAATCCTAGCACTCTAGGACTCCAAGGCCCATGGATTGCCTGAGCTCACAGGTTCCATGCCAGCCTGAACAAGAGCGAGACCGCCTCTCTAAAAATAGCCAGGTGTTGTGGTGGGTACCTGTGTCCCAGCTACTTGGAAGGCTGAGGCATGAGAATCGCTTGAGCTCAAGAGTCTGAGATTGCTATGAGCTATGACACCATGGTATTCTACCAAGGAAGACAAAATGAGACTCTGTCTCCAAGAAAAAAAAAAGTTTTGTTTGCCCCCTCAATCCCTGACAACCACCAGTCTTCATTTTATCTCTGGACATTTTATACAAATAGAATATATAATATGTACTTTTTGTGTGGAACCATACAATATGTGACCCTTTGTAGCTGGCTTTTTTCACTTAACGTAAGATTTTTTCATTATGTTAAGTTGCATTTGTGTTGTAGAATGTATCAGAATTTTCTTCCCTTTTATGATTAAATAATATTTCATTGTATGAATATATACCACAATTTGTTTATCCATTTATCAGTGGAGGGGTGTTTGGGTTGTTTCCATTCTTTGAGCTGTTGTCAGTAGTGCTGCTGTGAATGTGCGTGTGCACATATTTGTTTGAATACCAGTTTTCCTTTTGAGGGGGTATATACCTAAGAGTGGAATTACTGGGTGACAAGATAATTCTATGATTAACTTTTTGAGGAGCTGCCAAACTATTTCTCAAGCAGTAACTGAAGTATTTTACATTCCTACCAGTAGTATATAAGAATTCCACTTTCTCTGCATCATTGTTAACATCTGAGTGTTTTCTTGTTGGTACATTGGGCAGGATTATCTTGGGTATAACACTTGGTGTAATGAGGATGAAATGAGATGAAATATATAAAACATTTTGTGAACAAAAAGGTGATACACATTAGGTGTACCATCTGGGAGGATATGGTTTAAGACCTTACTTTTCAGTTGTGGGGGCTGGTGATCAAAAGCTATGACTTCCCTAAGTTACAGGAAACAAAATAGACAAGAAAACCTAAGATGTTCTCACCACCACTTGGAGCTTACCTCTAAGATCCTTATGTGTAATAATTTTGTGAGAGGAAATTACTGAATACAGAGAATAAAAACAGCCATTTGTGAGACTTGCAGGACCATAGTATCTTCTTCTTTTTTTTTTTTTTTTTGAGACAGACTCTCATTATGTCGCCCTTGATAGAGTGCCATGGTGTCACAGCTCACAGCAACCTCCAGCTCTTGGATGTAGGCAATTCTCCTGCCTCAGCCTCCCGAGTAGCTGGAACTATAGGTGCTGGCCACAACTCTTGGCTAGGACCGTATTATCTTTGAGAGCAGGATACTATTCCCTGTAACCTTTAGTAAACTCAGTAGTAAGAAATTAGCCCTAAATTGAGCAGAGTTCTGGACCTGCTCAGCAAAGATTATAAAGGGCTAACATTACCTGATTTCATGACTTACTATAAAGCTACAGTAATCAAACGGTCTCTGTATTGGCATATGGTTGGATGAATAGATCAGTGGAATAGAATAGAGATTTCAGAAATAGATCCACACATATATAGTCATCTGATTTTTGAGAAAGCCACAAAGGTAATTCAATAGGGAAAGATTAGTGTTTTTCAACCAGTGGTGATGAAACAATTGGATATTCATAAAAAAAATACAAACTTTGATTTATACCTTGCACTATAAAGAAAAATTAAATTAAAGTGGATTATTGACCTAAAGATAAAGCCTAAACTATAAAACTTCTAGAAGTAGAAGCCAAGAGAAAAATTTTGTGACCTTGGGTTACACAAAGATTTCTTACACCATAGAACAGTGGTCCCCAACCCTTGGACTGTGGCCTGTTAACGATAGGGACCAGAGTGGACAATAGGAGGTAAGTGGCAGGCAGACAAGTAAGCAAAGCTTTATCTATATTTGCAGCTCCCCATGGCTCACATCACAGCCTGAGCGCCCCCTCCTGTCCAGTCAGTGGCATCAGATTCTCATAGGAGTATGAACCCTGCTTTAAACTGCATGTGTGAGGGATCTAGATTGTGAGCTCCTTATGAGAATCTAATGCCTAATAATCTGAAGTGGCGATATAATGTGCTTGAATCATCCTAAAACAGCCCCCACCCCTATCCATGGAAAAATCATCTCCATGAAACTGGTCCATGGTACCAAGAAGGTTGAGGACTGCTGCTATAGAAGAATCAACTGATAAATTGGGCTTCACCAAAAGTAAAAACTGTTCCTCAGAAAAATACTGTTAAGAGAATAAGGCTCGGCTCGGCGCCTATAGCTCAACCGGCTAGGGCGCCAACCACGTACACCTAGGGTGGCGGGTTCGATTCCCCAGCCCGGACCCGCCAAATAACAATGATGGCTGCAACCAGAAAATGGCCGGGCGTTGTGGCGGGCGCCTGTGGTCCCAGCTACTTGGGAGGCAGAGGCAGGAGACTCGCTTGAGCCCAGGAGTTGGAGGTTGCTGT